GCCTCTCCCACTGCCCATCACTGTCCCTTCACTGACCCCAGCAAATGATGCCTTCAGCTTCCACTTGTTAACATGCTGTCTTGTCTTCCCGAGGTGCAGTCAGGTTCATGGTGTCCCTGACAATGTCAAGGACTAGCCCCAGAGTCTGATAGTCGGCTAATCTTTACTCTGTTCCTCAGATGTTTCCTTGAATGGGCTTTGAGTCTCCCGTCTAAAACTGAAATCTGCTGTGATACTCTTCTTTTGTTTTCTGTGGCAGGCCCAGTTCTATCCCTAGCACTGCTTTTGTCAGCTGGATGAGTCAAAGCTGTTCACCAGAACAAAGAATAAATGGCAGGAAAGGGTACTCAAAGGAAGAAATAATGCTTTTTTTTCAGAAAACTCGCCCACTTGAAGAAATTAGCTGAATAGTTTTTTGCTAGTTCTTACTAGGTAAGTGTATATGGTCACCCTCAGAACTTAGAACTACTACTCTAAATTTATATATATGCTATTTCAGTGAAAAGCCACTTTATAAAGAATCAGCACTGTGAAAAATGAAATTAAATAGTATGTATGAGTGAGAGGCAACAGCTTTTAAGAAGAAGTAAGACATTAAAACAAGGTAAAAAAATCTTCAAAAGTGGAGTGAGAGAATGAGCTAAAAAGATAAGAGGTGGTAGTGGTAAAAATGAAATCTTAAAGTTGAAATTTTGGAGGTATTGTCATTATTGTTAATGGCAAAGTCTTAAAACATAACCATAGGAGTGGGTGGCAGAATAGGGTAGAGACAAGGCCATTGGAGAAAAGGTCATGGAACTCAGAAGTTGGGTCCGGAAAAGTTACAGATGTGGATGTTAAGATCACCAAGAATTAAATACAGGTAGTATAAAAGGGAGTGATTGCGAGCCAGGACCTAGAACCTTCTAGGACAGATGAGAAAGTGTCCTGGTTGGGGGTCAGAAGATAATGTGGAAAGTTGAAGAGAATACTTAGAGAAGACAGTGAGGATATAGGGGATTTTGTTAGGACTATGAGTTCCAGAGCACACAACAAAAGGGATTTGGAAGTTAGGGGGGAATAGGGAGATAGGAGAAAGTACTCAGCCAAATGGGAAGAGAGTCTGAAAGATAAAGATTGACTAGAGAGATTGGGCTTCACATAGTGACCACATAACATAGGGCTAAAGGGTCTGATGAGATTACATAGATATTGAAGGTAAGGCAGTGGGTGTCGAAGAAGAGAGAGGTCTTGCCAAAGCATGTTCTTGTAACTCCTGTTATAACTCTTGTAACAAGCTCTCTTGTAACTCCTGCTAGTGGAGGTATAGAAGTCAGGAGAAGGGCCATCTTATGCCAAGCAGAAATAACTTTGGAAATTTCTTTCCAATCCCCCTCTACCTTCATCTTCCACGTGGGTCCCAGGCCCAATAAAGGGATAACAAATACGTCTCATTTTCCATGGATAGGGAGTGACTGCCTGGAGCACCATGGTATGACCAACTTCAAAACCATGCCCAGATTCAGGAGAGCAGGCAAACAGCCACATCTATGCCAGTGTCCATTTTCCCTCGTTTAAGATAATTCCCTAAAGTTCAGTTCAGTTCCTAATTTTCCATCCCACTCCTCACTTTGTAACCCACCTGCTAGCTACTTAGACACCCATAAAGCTTTTAGGACTTTAACATACTACTTCACTTTGGCCTCCAACCTCCACCTTCCTGAAGGTGATCCACTCAGCCTGCTGCACTGTCTGCTAATAATCCCCAAGTCTTCATGTCCAGACAAGACCTCATTTCTGAGCACCAGAAACTTGTCTGCAAGTGTCTACGGGGCTTTGAGCATATCAGATGTGTTCTTCAAACCTCTCTGTCCTTGCCATCCTGTTGGTATACCCCCATTTGCCCATTTGAACAACCCAAGCCGTCTTCACCTCTCCCTTTCCCCCAGCTCATCATGAGTCCCCAGTGTCTATGCATCGGCCTCTGAAATTCCTTAAATGTGCTCCCTCTCCTCTCTCCCCACTGCCTCTACTTTGTTCACATCTGTCTCTTCTCTCAAACAGACTTGGGAAGTGCACTCTAGCTCCCCTTCCCACAGCCATCAGAGTGACCTTTGTAAAACAGAAATGTTTCTCCCTTCCTTAAAGGCTTCCTGGCTTTACATCACTCATGGGATAAAGATCAAAGTTCTTAATCCTTGACACACAACATTGCATATGTTTGTCCAGGTACCTCTCTCTTGCTAGACTGTGATGGCCACCAGGGCAGGAATGCCCACCTCTTTTATTTTGAATTCCCACTAGTGGCTTGGAGATGCAAAACGTACTCAATCAAGGTTAAGTGAAGTAATGCAAGCAGGTAGAGGAAAAGTATAAAGACAACCTAGTTTTAAAGACTCTCTCTCATGCCAGTTGACATGAGATCATTTTTTACTAGCTCTCACCACCAGATGGTTCATCTCTCTCACCATGAATAGCAGAGGCATGAATTTTTTTTATTTGACAATTAATAAAAGATATACCAAAGGTGGAAATAGGGTCTTGATATGAATTTTCTAGTATTGGATTCTGGCTTCACCATTTTCCAGTGTGCAAGATACTTAAACTCTATAACCCTACAACCTCTATACTAATAGTATCTGATTCAAATGGTTCTTATGGGGATTAAATGAAGCAGTGGGTATAAAGTGTGTGGAATAGGAAATATTCAGCAAAAAGTAGCTGTGGTTGATACTCTGAAAGAGGTTGCATGCATGGTTCATTCACAGATAACTGGAAGCATTATTGCTGTTAGGTAGACAAGAAACATGCATGCATTTCCTAGAATGGGGGAAATGTGTCTTTACTTTTTCCATAGAGTTCAGGCCATACAGAGTCAGCTTCTGAAGGAGACTGGGAGTTTTTGTCTCTGGTCTCCCTGACTTTTTTCTCCCCCAGTGTTTTCTACCCCTCTGTCCTCTCCCTCCATGGTCCTATTGCTCCTGGAAGAGAGGCAGCAAATCCTACAGCCCTCTGTAGGGATAGGCTTGGGTCTACTGGGGATAGGTGGGCTATCTTGTTGACTTTCAATATTATCTTAGAATTTGTCTATCCATATGTCATAGCAATACCTTGACCCCATTGAAAAACATCATTCCTTTTAAACTTGAGTTCCATTACTGGACCACAAATTACATTGTATTTTGTATTGGGGTGTTTTTGACCTTTCCAAAAAAAAAAAAAAAAAAAAATGTTCATATTGTTCAACCTAATTACTGAAGAATGATAATTTGTTAACTATAAATATGAAAATATGTGTGTACAACCTTTTTTCTGTTATTGCATTTTTTCATTTTTTAACATACTGGATTCTCAAAAAAATGACTTGGGTTGGGGGAGGGGGTCTCCTTTACTCTCTGAGAAGCCATAGAGTGGAGCCATCTATAAAGCAATTCTTTCTTTTACTGACAGTAATTATCTTTTATAACATCTCCTCGATGTATTTTTGTGTTAAAAGATCTGCCCTCTCTTAAAAGAGAGGAAAGGAGAGGGAAACAAATTAAAGGCATATGGAGGGATCATATAGTATATAAATGACAATAATCATGAGCCACCTATTTCACAAATTACTGGGGACATTACACATGATAATACAGGCAAAGAACTTTAAAGAGTTAAAAGTACAATCATGAAAGGCAGTCCACTTACAGTGTACTCCAAAGACCATTTTCAATCTGTGAACTCTTTGTTTCTGGTCCATGGTGAGATAAATATGAAAATTTGAAAGCAAGCATTTAGAAACTGTTATAGAAATTTGACAAAGTAATTTTATGTCTGTTGAATCAAATAATAAAAGATTTGGGCTTGTATTCTGTATGTCTGATTTTTTACTTCATTTCTAGTAATTATTTTCATTGTACTTCACAAAGGCAAAGAAAAACCTGTCCTTCACTATACATAGTTTGAGAAGCATTGATAAAAGGTATTATTATTTCTGAAATTTTGCTTAAGAACCATTAAATTTCTAATTATAAACTAGTTACATGTCATTATTTGAGAAACACTATTTCATACCAAGTGTAAAGAGTTGCCAGCATACAAACAAGTTCCAGAACAAGTTTGTTTTGTGTTGGGTAACTTGGTTATTTAAGAGTTAGAAACTATTTTTCCCACAAAATTACATAAACCTGGGGTTATGTTCTTGGTGTAGCCCAGAAATCCCAGTTATCTCAAAAGATTGTTAAGCTATACTATAAAATTTAATGAACAGATATATGCTATAGCTTTTAAAAACCAGTCTTTTCCATCCTCCTACAATGGAGAATATAGACTTCTGATTTCCAGATCAGAAAATACCTCTCTTTCCCATCTGCCTGTGCAAAATGGCGATTCCTAGCCCTAGCATGGTGGTGGGGATTGGGTAAGAATGGGGGCTACTTCTGCAGAAACTGTTTCAACAGCAACACTCAGAAGGAAGAAGAGTATGGAGCTCCAGTACTCTTCACACAGAGTGATGAGGAAATTGGGAGTTGGAGTTTGAGGCAACTCACTGGTTGTGTTAATAACGTTAAACTAAAGTTTCTCCAAGATTCTCTGAGATTGAGATGACGTTGGTTTTGCTGACCTTGAAAGCCCCGGCTCTTTACCACAAATGCTTCTGTGCCCTAAACTCTGGGGTGTTGTTCCCTTGGTGGCCCAACACCAAATTGGGACGAGGCTTCATCCTGAATTGAGATTTGTCCCTGCCAGAGGGACCCATGACACGAAGAAAGGTAAGCCTCCTGTTCTTTCAAAAGACAACTATTTATCTCTCTACCATTCAGCATAACCTAATATCCCTTAGATACACACAGGAGAGGGATCTTTTTTTTTTTTTTTTTGGCGGTGGGCGGGGCAGATGAGAAACCAGAATCTGCTTTTACTTACTGATTGTTTATGAAACTGATGTTTGTTGAAAATTGGCAATTGTCATGGCTTCTGCCTACATGCTGTAGGATGGAAAACCCTGGAAATCAGTAGAAGCTTATTCCAGGCATACTCACTTGTTTGTCTCAATCTTAATGAGTTTCCCTTTTACACTTCTTGTCTTTCCTTCTTTCTTTTCTTTTCTTTTCTTTCTTTCTTTCTTTCTTCTTCATGTTATGGCTGTTAAAGTAAAAGAAAACAAAAATTAAAAAAAGTTAGATCAAAATAGCGTCCACGTCTTGAGGTCTCCGGTGCAGATGAAGCATTACTAGGAACAGAATGTCTCTTTCCTTCCGTCTACACCCTGTCATAGGAAGGAGTTGATTCCAACATGAATTATTTACAAGAAAGAATCCTGAATCTCCTCCTGTAATGAAAAAGAGTCTTTCAAACTTTATCTAGAAGTTTCTTGCCGGCCTATGGAGTAAGGGCTGTCTGTGAAGACTAGGATGAGAAAGGTACGAGGGCTGCCTGAGGGCCTCGGGGGTCGTCCGTTTGGGAAGGGAGGTGGAGGAGGCCAAGTTGCACGCCCGTAACCTCACCTGGGGCGTCCGTGGGCGGGGGGTGGGGAGGCCCGGGGGAAGCTGCTGGTGACCAAGGCCAAGGGCCGGCGCGGGGCGGAGACGGGGCGGAGACGGGGCGGAGCGCGGCCCGAGCGGGGAGGCGGGCGCCGCCCTCCGTGCTCCCGACCGGCGCTCGCGAGGCGGCGCCGGCTCCCGCGCCATGGGGCGGCTGGTGGCTCTGAGCCTGCTGGGGATTGCGCTGGCGCTGCTGGGCGAGAGGCTCCTGGCGCTCAGGTAGGTGGCCCGCTCGCACGGGGCCGTCGGCGCGCGGCCTGCCTGGGGGCCGCCCTCCCCGAGCGGCCCCCGCCCGCGGGGCCCCAGGCCCGGTGGCCGCGGGCGGCGGGCGAGGGCGCGGGCCGTGCAGGGCTTCCCGAGCCGCGGGGTGAGAACTCCCGCTTGTTCTCAGTTCCGCAGCTTGATGAACACCTCCGCCCCCGCCCCCCAGCCTCTCGCAAAACCCGGCGCAGTTTGGGCTGAATCTGGAGACTTTCTGGCAAGTTGAGAAGCCTTTGCTGCTTACCGAGGTTTGACCGGCGAGGGCTTTGTAGTTACACAGGCAAACCCAGCGCTTCGACTTGAAACCAAAACTATTACTTATGCATCGAACCTTTAATTATAAAGATTTATTTCAGGTCTTTGGTGCTGCTTCTCTTGGGTGCCCAAACCAGCCGCCGTCTTTTAGTGAAGTTGCTCTCCATTCCTTCCCTGCATAGTTTGAGAAACTTTTCAGCTTTCTAATCTTGGCGCTGTAGATCGAAGATACTTGAAACACTCAGCTACTGTTCTTACATCACTTCCTTATTTATCTTCACTCAGGAACCCTGCAGCCAGAATGCCCAACAGCCCAAGCCTGGTCCATCTCCCAGGATTAATTATAATGAAAACCTCGGATGGGTCGACATCATAGTTTCTAAATTACCAACTCAAATTTTAGAAGCCTCATGCGAAAGGATTCCAGAAATACGGAGCACCTACTGTGTATGGTGTGCCATCCTAGGCTCCTGTAATGGAGTGAGGCACAGTCAGTCCTTACCTTTAAGAGGTTCATGCTATTACAGGGGAGGAGAGAAATAAAGCAAATATATCCATTAGGATGTCCAGACCAGGTACGAACAAACCCCTACAGGCTTAAGGGGGAAAGATTACAGCCCCCGAAGTTGAAGTTCAGGAGGAAGAGACTATTTGACACTGGCCTTGAAAGATGAGTGAAACACATATGGGGCCATCCTAGATGAAAAGTGCAGTGGGAACAGAGGGGAGAAGGTGGGGAAGTTTGGGGACTAGCAGTAGACCAACTTGGGGGAGCATAAAGTTAGGGGATGTGAATAATAGGGGTTGGGGGAAGGATAGGTTTTGAGATGGTTAACTAGAAGTTCAAAAATTGGGGCCTGCTTTGATAGGCAAAGGAGAACTATTGATGTTTGGGGTGTGTGTGTGTGTGTGTGTGTGTGTGTGTAAACAGGAATCTGTTTAAACCATATAAAACAATCAGTTGCTGTGCTATAAAGCATGATTAACGGTGCTGCTGTAGAGATGAAGCTGGAAGGATGGAATGGAGGAGAGCGAAAGTTCTGGATCCTGGCTGGACATTGGAATCTCCTGGCGGGCTGACGTCTGGGCTGCACTCCCAGAGACTCTGATTCATCTGGTCTGCGTGGGGTCCAGGCATGAGTGGTTTTGAATTTTTAAAAATTCTCCTTATAATTCTAATAATGCAGTTACAATTGAGAAGTAACTCAGAGAGTGGGTAGACATGGGGAAACTAGGTAAGGTATTACAGTAGTTTGGAGAGAATAACAGGACAGGGGCCCAAACTCGAGCCTCACTGATAAGGGTGGGGAGACTAAAGTGGTACCAGGGTTTCTGTCTCTACTGTCCTGTAGCTGGAGCTTCATCTGCTGATAAAGGGATGCAAGCAGGAGGAACAGTGTATGGTGGAGGGAGGAAATGGACACGTGGACCTTAATTTTTATGTTATGTAAATACCCAGCCTGCTCTGCAGAACATTCTTGAGTTGGATAATTTTGTATGATCTGTCCAGCTCTCAGTTTCAAAGGCAATACCACTAAATTCACAAGCTCATTCAATTGTCCTAAAGTTCAAACCACTAGGCTTTCCACAAATAATGGTTTTTTCTTCTTACTAATCTTAAAGTTTTAAATTTAAGTCTCTTTAAATGATGTTACAGTTGCAAACCTAAGAAAAAGTAAATAAAGCTTATGTACATAGAATGTACCTTATAGGTAATTCACAATTTAATGCATCTTTCTAAAGATTTGACTGCAATAAGTTTTACTGAGCAGGGATTTTCTAGGTCGGTAACTTCATTGGATAGTTGAACTCCCAAATCAGGTGATGTAAGAATGTTAATATGTGATAGGTGGCTAGATTTAGCAAGTAAAAATGCAGGATGCCCAGTTAAATTTGAATTTCAGGTAACCAGCGAATCATTTTGTAGTATAAGCATATCCCATTGCAATATTGGGGCATAATTATACTAAAATATCATTCTTCCTTTGGAATTCAAATTTGGGCATCTTGTATTTTATCTGGTGACCTTGTGCTTGTGGAATATCAAGCGCCTGTTGTTTACAGAGTTCCAGGTGGAGTGCTCAAATGCATAGCATCTCCTTTCAGACCCTTAGAGTCTGTTTTGAAAAGCAGCATGTTCCTACCTCTCCATAAGGAAAGGCTCTTCAAAACCCAGGCTTGTTTTTGGTTTTTTGTTTGTTTGTTTTTTGCTCTCTGGTGCCTGCTATTTCATTATCCTATTTTTAGAGATGGCACTTAGGCATTCAAGTTATTTCTCTCCCCCAGGGTGCCCACTTAAATTTCAACTTGAATTTCAGATAAATAATGAATACTTTTTTTTAGTATAAGTATGTCCCAGATAGATAAGTGGAATCAAAGCTGTCTCTTTCCTTGTGAACTGTAACTGGCTAAAGTTCCCAGGGGAGGATGGCATATTATACCCAACTTTTCTACTCCTCCCTAGTTGAGCAAAAGAGGGGGAAATGGAAATACACAGATATCCCCAGGCCAATTACTACCTGTTGCAAAGTACACACCCTTGGATGAGTCATGAGAATTGAGTACATCAGAGGTCTGTGCATGAGCAGGAATCCCTAAAACAAGCATCTGAACATTCTGCTTGCTGCCTGACTGATTTTATGACAGCTATACCAAAAAGCTATCCAGTCTGCTTTTGAACACTTCTGCAAGGTCAGGCTTTATTTTTAAACTACCACCCTCCTTATCATTTATTGTGTGACTACTGTGTTCTGGTCACTGGGTCAAAACTGTCAAAAGTTCTTTATATTAAGCCAAAATGTACATTTTTAAAAAGATTTTATTTATTTCAAGAGGTGGGGGAGGAGGGCCAGAGGCAGAGGGAGAGAGAGAATCTCAAGAGTCTCCCTGCTGAGTGTGGAGCCCGATGCGGGGCTTGATCCCACGACCCTGAGACCATGATCTGAGCCAAAATCAAGAGTCGGATGCTTAACCCACCGAGCCACCCAGGGGCCCCTACACCAAAATACATTTACTGACATTTGGAAAGAAAGCTCTTTACATTTATGCCTTCATTCAGTCTTCATATATGTCTTCCTTTCTATATTAAAACATGTTAAAACTGAGGCTGGAGGGAGTCAGCTAATTAGTTCAACAGGTAATTAGTGCTGAACCTGTACTCCATGCCAGGGCTTCTGATTCCAAATACAGTTTGCCCCAGCTCCCCCACTGCCTCCTAGCTCTTCTGCCTTTGGAGCAAATTACTCCCAGCCTAAGATGCCTAATCACAAATTCTTAGTTACTAAGTACTACAAGCATTACAGGGGCCCGAGAGGTAAATTCCAAGGGGTGTTACAAGTCTGTACTTAAAAGATAAAGCCTCTGTTTGTCTGTATTTAAGCCTGTACTTAAATGATAAAGCCCCTTCAGTAGTTGGTAAATTCAAAGGCGGTGAAACATGGAACAAAGTACTGCCAGGTAGTAACACTGTGTTCCTAGTTTGTTGAAGATAAGGCAACATAATAACTAATTGCCCCATCTCATCCCACTCTGGATGGGTAATGCTGTCTCCTGAGTGAAAGAAACAGAAATTGAGGGGCACCTGGGTGGCTCAGTCGGTTAAGTGTCTGCCCCTGGCTCAGGTCATGATCCCGGGGTTCTGGGATTGAGCCCCACATCGGGCTCCCTGCTTGGCAGGGAGTCTGCTTCTCCCTCTTCCTGTGGCCCCCTGCTACTGCTCTCACTCTCTCAAATAAATAAATAAAAATCTAAAAAAAAAAAAAACCAAAAAACCGAAACTTAAAAAAAAGAAATAAAAATAGATTTCACGGTAATGATTGTTGGTTAAAATAAAACACATAGGATTCCAAAACAAAATTAAATACTATGTAACTTAATACTAATTTAAAAACTTAAATACTATTACCAGCCTATTTTTAAAATCTAATGTATGATGTAATAATCATGCTCTGTGGCCAGATAGCCTGAATTCATTTCTTAGCTCCACTATTTACGTGGGTTCTTGGCTTTTTATTTCACCTTTCTATGCCTCAGTGTCCTAATCTGTAGGATGGGGATATTAATACTACCCACTACATAGTGGGGCAATAAAAAATACCGGAGTTCATTCTTGTAAAGTGCTAAACAACACCAAATACATGATAAGTGCTCAATGAAAGTTACTTGTAATGACAATGTTCAGGCAGGGGTTCTTAGACTTTTGTACCATAGATTCATTTGGCAGTCTGGTAAAGCCTTGAATCCTCAGCATTATGCTTTTATTTAATTTTTTTTTTTTTTTTGTGGTGCCCCTCCTTTTTTTTTTTTTTTTTGGTTTTTATTTTAATTCCATTTATTTAACATACAGTGTTACATTAATTTCAGGTATACAATATAGTAATTCAACAATTCCGTACATCACCTTGTGTTCATCACAAGTGCCCTCCTTAATCCCTATCACCTAATTCACCCATCCCCCCAGCCACCTCCCCCCTGGTAACCATCAGTTTGTTCTCTATAGTTAACAGTCTGTTTCTTCATTTCTCTCTCTCTCTCTTTTTTTTTTCCCTTTGCTCATTTGGTTTTTTTCTTAAATTCCACATATAAGT